CGGTGGCCGCCATCAACGGAGCACCTCTTCCGTGCAGAGGCAACGGGCAAGGCCGGCTGGTCACATGTCAGCCGCACGACTTGGAGAGGACGTCGCTACCTACCGCCGAGCGAGAGACCGCAGCTAACGTTGGTGATGCCGTTGGTGGCCGAGAGTGCCCCCGTGGTGTTCGTGGTTGGGGGATGTTGTTAGCAAGAGTGGGTTTTCCTTCTGTGGCATCGGACCTTGCCAGAGTGACCCACTGTCAGCACCTGTCACCTCGGAGAATGATGTAAGCCATGTGCCCCAGCCTTTCTGAAGAAACTTTCTGAAGTTTCTTTCTCCCCTTGATTTTTTTTTTTTTTAACATGTATACATTTTTGAGAGACACAGAGACAGAGAGACAGAGCATGAATGGGGGAGGAGCAGAGAGAGAGCGAGTACAGAATCCGAAGCGGGCTCCAGGCTCCGAGCTGTCAGCACAGAGCCTGACGTGGGGCTCGAACTCACGGACCACGAGATCATGACCTGAGCTGAAGTCGGCCGCTTAACCGACTGAGCCACCCAGGCGCCCCGCCCCCCCTTCTCCCCTTAAAGGATGATGAAAAGTAAAACTTTTACCTAAAGTCTAAAAATCTTATTTTTTATAGAAGCGGTTGTAGTGTCTGCACCAACCTAAAATGTATCACCAGGGCGCTGGGTGACTTCCCTAGTTCCCTCCATATTTGAAGCGTAGAGCTTATCCAGATGCTTTGTGTTTCAGGCCACAATTTTTTTCATCCTCCCTCCCTCCCTGTGGGTTCTTACTAGGTCAAAGGCTGGAAGGATGTGCTCAGGATCAGCCTGAGACCACACTGGCTTTCTTCCTGTGTCATCCCCTGAGGTTTCACAATCGTCCCTCATTTATGGGTCAGAAGCAACCCCGTGTGAAACACAGTTGTTCCAGAAAGACAAGTGGGAAGCCAGGGGTCTGGACTGGGCTCCAGGGCAACAGTAGCTGCTGCCGCTCTGTGAGCAAAACCCCGAGCCTCTCAAGTGGAGCCCACGAAAGCCTGTGGAGAGAAGCTTCTGCAGGAGGATGGCCAGGAGGGGAGGGAAGCGCCATGGCTCTGGAGAAGAACGGGACAGAGGAAAGCGCCTTTAGCGGAAGGAAAGCTGCCTCGGCCAACTGCTCCGATCACCCTGAGCTGTGGGTCCCCTCACAGATGAAATGCTTGGGATCTGTCTCCACAACGGAGACCCCTAGTCTAGAGCCCAGTTTCAATTATTCTTTGGTGTGATTTCCAGATTGTGTAACAAAGAGAAAGATGACCGACAGGAAACCCCGAGTCCTGGTGGTTGGTTGAGGAGCACGAGGGAAGCGTCAGGGGGGAAACGGGGGGCAGAGCTTTGCAAAGTCAGTCTCTGGGTTCTTGTTCCAACCGTCGTTGGGGACCTGGCACCCCAGCCGTGGCTTCACTGTCTCCCTTCCTCCTGCTCTCCATTGTACCATTGACTCTGATCTGCTTTTGATTTGAAAAGACTTTAGAAGAGTTCATGGAGAGACGCCTGGGTGGCTCAGTCAGTTAAGTGTCTGACTCCTGATTTTGGCCCAGGTCATGATGGGATCGAGCCCCACATCGGGCTCCTCCCTGAGCATGGGACCTGCTTGGGATTCTCTCTCCCCATCTCTCTGCCCCCCCCCCCCCCCCCCAAATAAAGAAGAAGAAAAGAAGTTCACATAAATGTCCAGAAAGTGTTTCTAATGCGTGGTGGCTTCAGGGCACGAAGGGAGCCCCTGGTCACAGAACAGAGGTCTATGCACGTTCACAAAGCTGTTGCTCTCCCCTCACATTCCTGTGTGGCTGTGAATTCTTTAGACGTTCCTGGCAGGTAGTATCCCCTCTGTCGTCAGATGAAGGAACTGACCCAGAAGGACAGCAGCTGGGCTGCTCAGGGTCGCCAGGCCTGGCAGCGTCTCCCTGCCCTCGCAGCCTGTGTTTCCGCCTCTGTGCGAAGATGCCTCAGGAGAGCACCCGAGCTCAGGGCCTCGCTTCCTCCCAAAGCAGTCCTGGCCTGACTGAGGACTTGTGCCATCTGTGGCATCTTGGAAAGAAGTCTATTTTAAAGCCTATAAAAGTGTTCCAGTATGGAAAGTGCACTAATAATTCAGCCACCCTGGCCCCGGTGTGAGAGCAGCTGCCCGGATGGAAAGGCCTTGGCTCTTTCTAGAGGTTGTGCCTAAATGTCAGCTACAGCAGGTGCCAAACGAGTGAGAGTGGGGGCAAGGACCAGAGGAAAGGAAATAAACTCAGTTGAGATATTTTTTTTTTTTTTTAACGTTTGTTTAGTTTTGAAAGACAGCATGAACAGGGAAGGGGCAGGGAGAGAGGGAGAATCCGAAGCAGCTCCAGGCTCTGAGCCATCAGGACAGAGCCCGGCACGGGGCTCAAACCCACGAACCTCAAGATCATGACCTGAGCTGAAGTCCAACGCTCAACCAACTGAGCCACCCAGGCGCCCTATCAGTTGAATTTTTAATGCACATTCCTGCTGTCATCCCAACTGAGGTGGCCAACTTTGGGGTCTCTTGAGAGCCCATTGCCTGCCCAGCCCACCCGTGCTCAGAAACCATGAGCTGATCTGGGCTTTCATGCTAGTTGCGCAGCAAGTTCTGGCCCTGCGGTCCTTCCTCTCTGTCAGGATGCTTTTTTCATTTCTCTCTCTGTCTCTCTCTCTCTGTTTCCTCTTTTCTTTCCCCAGATGACCTATTTTATTTTTTTATTTTTGAGAGAGAGAGAGAGAGAGAGAGTGCGCATGCAAGTTGGAGAGGGGCGGAGAGAGAGGGGGACAGAGGATCCGAAGCTGGCTCTGCGCTGACAGCAGCGAGCCCAGCACGGGGCTCAAACTCACGAACCTCGAGATTATGACCCGAGCCGAAGTCAGGCTCCACCGACCGAGTCACCCAGGTGCCCCGGGACAGGCTATTTTAGATTCTGTTTAGTTCGATGAAGTGATAATGCTGTCCCCCTAAGACTGTCAGAACCTGGAATGTGGGAAATTCTGTGCTAAGTGGCCTGGACACCAAAAGCTGCTGGGTACTTCTAATTTTGGCATCGAGACTTTACAAGTCTGCATTCTTGCATTGCCACCCAGTTAGAATAGAACAATAAACCCCAATTTTTGTCATGCAAGGCGGTAATTAAAGTGGCAACTGAAACGGGCAGATACTTACTGGGCGTGTAGGGGGTGGCTCTCTCGGTGGGGGTGGGCTCCTGGGGAGACGGGGGGGGGG